TGGCTGGCTTCAGAGTTGGCCACACCCACTACAGCCAAAACCTCTGTGTGTGTGGCTACAGAGGGAAGGCCTAGAGAATGACACACACCCCGGCGACTTCAAGGCGGGTGGGCGGGGGGCGCTGGAAGGATCGGGGAGGCATTTAAATGCCTTCCCATACCTTCCCCGGCCTTCTGTCCAAGGGCTGGCTTGCCCGGGCAAGCCAAGGGAAGGCATGGGGGTGTGGCCTAACATGCTAATGAGCTGTGCTGTCAGGGGTGTAGTCTGATATGTTTCCACTGTTGGGCGTGGCCTAGTATGCTAATGAGTTCCTGCTGGGCTTTTTCTACAAAAAAAAGCCCTGGAGGGAACATTGGTTGAGACTAGGACGGCCAACTGTGGATTGAGGAATACATGGAGATGGGGCGGGGGGCTCAGCAGGGTATGATGTGATAGACTCCACCCTCCAAAGCAGCCATTTTCTCCTGGAGAACTGACCACAGCCATCTGAAAATCAACTGTGACAGAGGGAGATCTCCAGCTGCTATCAGGAGGCCGGCGACCCTAGGTGTGACAGAAGAAAGGGGGATCCATTTCTCAAACACCTGCAGCGGTGGCAGAAAAAAAACCCCCTTTCTTTGGTCAGGAGTTGCCACGAAAGGGAGTTAAGGGCTTGTCCATTCAGAACAATGCCAATATTGAACATGGAGCATTATCCTTATTCTGCCGCTGCCCTTTGCCTTCTTACCACGTTGTCATGTAGTTACATTTGACTGGTTGCATAGTCACCCATAATATTCCTACGGGTTGCACAAGTGAGTCTTCCCGGGGTAGAGAGAGAGGACAGAGAGACCAGCCAAGTGTGTGTTTGTGTGGATCAGACCAGCCAAGCCGAAAGCCAGACCCCGAAAGCCCAGCTGGGGTCAGGAGCCAGGAACACAGACCCAAGTCCAAAGGTCTAGGTGCAAGAGCCAAGCCAGAGCGGATGCTAGCAGCACGAAGATGAGTTGTTGCTTCCACGAAGAGGACTGCCCAGAACGTGGAGTTAAATAGTGCTACCAGTTAGCCAGCTGCACGATCGGCCAGGCTCCTGTTAGAACTCTGGGCTAGCCGAATGTCTTCCCTGTAGCCTGGCCTCTCACTGCCTGGTTGCTACGTTTTGCAGCAGTCACTCCCTTAAACGAGTCACACGTGGGGGTGAGTCAGGAGGGCTTTCAGCTTGCAGTTCTTCCTTCTTATCTGGGCCAGGTGTGAAGACTGCTGTTACAGGCAACTGCCAGCTATCCTCCTCTGCTGCTTCAGAGGGGCCAGCTGTGGTTCCTTCTCGCAGCTCTGTCAGCTCTCCCTCATCCATGCCTTAGAACTCCAGAAAGTGTGACCCCCCCATGCTTTGGTGGTAGACAGCCCAACTCGTTTTTCTTTTCCCCCCCTTTCATCCAGTTGTCCTTTTAAAGCCTGATTGGTGCATCTTTGATAGTTCCAACATCTGGACTAACATCAGCACCAAAAACAGGATTTGCCGGAATAGGGAGGAGGCTAGCCGCTAAAGAATCTAACCCTGTGAGCTGTCTCTAATCCATTCCAGTTTCCTCTCTCTCTCTCTCTCTCTTTTTAAAAGGTTGTTTGCTTCTCTGCCTCCCTCTATCATTTCCTAAGTGCAATGCTTTGACGTGTGATAGAAGGTCCAGCCGCTCCAAAGTATATAACAAGCATCAGTGTTTTCTTAGCGCCAAGAGGTTACCTGCTGCTATTAAAACAGGATTTACTGCCCTTTGGAATATTTGCACTCTAGAGGTGGCCGGCGTAATTGGCTTTCTTCACGGGTAGCCGGACCTGATTAATTCCTTAGATCTCCCCTTTTTCCTCAGTCACCCCCCCCACCCCCGCGGCCCATACATCTACAGATGGAAGGGAGAGAAATTCGAGTCATCTATCTTAAGCTGTTAACAGAGGGTTTTTCTTTCGTTGACACGCGATGAGCCACTGCTCTATAAAGAACAATTTGTTATGGCCCCAGGTAAAGTTCACATTGATCCCTGGTTAAATATGGCGTGGCTCTGTCCACCTCTCGTCTTCCGATTTAACCTCCTTTTCCCCCATTCGCTCCTCACCCTTCCCCATTCGCCTTAGCAATCCCCGTGAACCTCTGTCTCGCTGGAAGGCTAGCTTGACATTTTAGCACCAGCCCAAACAATTCGGGTTCCCCCCCGAAATGTTTTGATTGTAATTAAGCCATGCTTCTGTCAATTGAATCCTCTACTGGCCAGCTGATTGGTGGTGAAACACAGCGGACGGGGGCCTGGCAGCTCTGACCAAGCCTGGGTCCTTCCTTCTTCAGGCGAAGAAGAAGAGGAGGAGAAGGAGGAGATTGGATTTATACCCCGCCCTTCACTACCTGAACGTGTCTCAGAGCAAGCTTACAATCCCTCCCCCTCCCCACAACAGACACCCTGTGAGGTAGGCGGGGCTGAGAGAGCTCTCTGGAGAACTGCCCTTGAGAGAACAGCTCTGAAAGAACTTGTGACTGACCCAAGGTCACACCAGCAGCTGCATGTGGAGGAGTGGGGAATTGAACCCGGTTCTCCCAGATTAGAGTCCGCGCCAATGCTCCCTCTGAGCTGTGGAGTCTCGTGAGCAAAAATTCTACTCCGTGCGCTACTGGCTTTATTTTATTTATTTATTTATTTATTATTTAGATTTTTATCCCGCAAGCGATTTGGCGACTGCATACGTCAGTTTGCTCTAGAGCCCTCCCTTCCTGAGCAAAGACAAAAATGTGTGAGCCGGAGGCTAAAAAACTGTGAGCTACCTCACACTCACTCGACTTAGAGGGAACACTGGGTCCTAACCACTACCCCAAAATGGATCTCAGAAAGCAGCTCCGCTACCGCTCGGCGACATCCCCCCTCCCCTGCTATCTCCTCTGCTACTGCACAGAAGCAAAAGACTTCTGGGCAGAACATTCTGTCAAAGTAATTAACCGGAATAACCCATCCCTGCCAAGTTTGATACGCCTGCCAATCGCTCCTGCTTGCACAGAGACAACAACCCCCCCCAAAAAATAAGGACGAGAATAGTGTAATTGGGGGCATAATTTGCGCTGCGCTTCTGGCGTTCAGGTGGCCAGAAACTTCCTCATCTTTGCTACTTGGCAGGAGGATGTGTGATTAAGGAGCCACTTCTCTCCCATGGCACCCCCGGTGGTCGCCCGGACGTGTTTCCTAAACCAGATAAAGGCTGCTTATAATAAATACAGCCCTGGCAAGCTCTTTGCAGCTCAGGGTCTCTAAGCGTGTTCCTTTTCATTTGCAGTTGGTGGAGGAGAAGAGGCATTTGGCTGCTTGCCTGCCAGCCACTGTTGTGATAGTTTGCACAGCAGGAAAGGGGGGGATTAATTTCATTGTGTCTCCTTTACAGTTCAAGCCTGCACTTATGTCCCGTAACCATCTGACGTACAGGGAGCACGGGCAGGTAAAACTCTCTCTTCCGCCGCTGTCTCACAGCCAACCCCCGAAAGTGGAATGGGGACAATTAAAAGCCACGTATCGTTTGCATCTTTTCTTAAGGGAGAGGAGGGGAGGTAACTTATCCCGGGGGTTCGACATGACGGAACACTCCCCCAAAGGAAGACATTTTCTGCACAAGGGAGAAGAGGTGTAGTTCGTAGCATTCTCTCTGGGACTGGTTTTCTGTGTCTTAGAATGCCAAGATTTGGAAATATGGGTTAAATCGGAGTATCAGGAATTTCTAATCTAGGGAAGTTATGCAGAGTTCTTCATTTGAAGGACAGCAGAGGACACAAGACTACATTCCTAGCAGAATCCTTCCTTCCTTCCTTCCTCCCTCCCTCCCTCCTTCAAATCATAGAATTGGAAAGGACCTCCAGGGTCATCTGGTCAAATCCCCTGGACTATGCAGGAAATTCACAAATACCTCCCCCTTGCACCCCCAATGACCACTGTTTTTTGCGCAGATGACAAAAAACCTCCAGGATCTCCAGCCAAACTGGCCTGGAGAAGAATTCCTTCCCTCCTTCCCTCCCTCCCTTAGTAAAAGTTGAAATTATGCTTCAATATGTTTGTTATACTTTGGGTTAAAGTGCTTTAATTTCAGCATCTGTTTGTGTATTGGTGGCCTGTATGTTTATATGTTCATTAAAATATATAATAAAATTAGGTGTGTTTTTTAATGGGAGGAATATCCCACAAACTAGTCATCTGCAGTGTGTATCTAAGATCACCATTTGCAACACATCGGCTGTCTCACAGGACACAAGCAGGCAAGCAATTTTCTCCTAGTTCCAAAAAGCATATTGTTTTGTTGTTGTCATCTGGAAGCTATTCACAGTCACCATAGGTGAGTATCTGAGTGGATATTAACAAGCCCAAGCTATTCCGGGTGTTGACAGAAAACCAAACTTAAAAAAGAAGAAGAGAGAGATAGGGCCAGAGGTCCGTTTGTGAAATGAGAACCTTCAGCCAGAGGGCATCCAAGTTACTTCTCCTGCATCACTGTGCTGCTAAATTCAAGAAATTAGCCGGGAAGGGCTTCCGGTCTGGCTCCCGCGAATGGCGGACGCATCCTTGGGTCGCTCCCGAGGGGCGTCTCGCCCGCCCGCGGTGGAGGAGCTCGGATCCGGGGCGCTTTAGGGCGCTTGAGGGGGGAGTCTCTCTCTCAGCCGAGAGGTTGGAGACGAGGCGCCCGCCATGCCCTGCCCCTTTGGACCTTGCTGCGTGAGCGATCCCGTTTTACGGGGTTTAGCGGAGCCACCAGACGTCACCGAGTGATAAAGCGATCATCCGAAAAAGTTGAAAAAGAAAAGATCGGCTTAACTGTGAGTTGTCAAAATGCAAAGAAAAAGATCTAAAACCGCTTCCCCCCCACCCAGCGAAAAAGGCGAGGAGGTTAACCCTCTAACTGCATAAGCAAAAAAGAAGAGGAGGGGGGGATTGGACTGAGCGAAAAGTGGTGTTTTCCCTTGATGTATTTGAAATAAAGCGAGAAAAAGTTTTGTCTCTCTGGAGCACATTTTAAGAACTTTCTTAAAAGTAAACAAAAAAGAAAAGATGTCGGAGCTGGGCAAAAACGAGCGGAGGAGAAGGGAGGGACTTCCGTCTGGGCGTTTGCTTGTGTGTGAGAGCCGGCTGTTTAGTGTTTTGGACTGTTTATGGCTGTGAATCCGACGGGAGTTTTGTAAAACGGAAAAGTTTGAACTGTGACAGCGAGGAGTGCCTGGCAAGCGCTTATATAAGTCAACAGTTGCGAGGAGGACCCAGTAGAGAGTTTGGGAGCGGATATAAAAAGCGAAATGAAATTAATACCATTCTCAAAGCTGGGGACCTCCAAGGCATGAAAGGAAGAGGATTTATAGTGCATGAACTGAGTGTGTTAAAAGCAACCCGAAGGAGGATTTAACAAGCCGGAAGGAGAAGACAACAGAGGAAGCCCCTCCACATCAGCGAAGTAAAAGTGCCCAGCACGCAAAGAAGCGGTTCTGACTGTGTCCAGAAGAGATTTTTTTTTATTAACAGAAACTCAAGGGAACATTACTAACATACTAACAGAAAATTATATGTGACCGGACTAAGAAAAGAAGTTTGACAACACACAGAAGAAGCCCAAGAAGATTAATTGGACATTACTAACAGTTTAATTTACCAGACTATATATCACTCAGCTTTTTCTTTCTCCCACTGTCTACCCTTCCCATTTTTTCTTTTAAGCGAAATACCTCTCCTTTTTAGGGGAGCTAATAAAATCTTTATTAAAAAAAAAAAAGAAATTAGCCGGGAAGACCACAATTTGTAAAGAAATTCAGTAATCACTGCACTCACCGTAAAACCAGGCAACACCAATGGCTTCCATTAAAACAGCAAATAAGATAGAGGTTCCAGCAGCAAACGTATCCAGCAGAGTAAGCACGTAGATTCCACCCTGAGCAATGAGGAGAAAAGACATCAAATATAACGAACCACAACAGCATCTCCAGAGTATCCTCACAGACTCAAAAGCTCCAACTGGATGGAGAATAATCTGCTAAACTGTCTATGTACTTAGCTGTTGAGACTGGGTAGACCTGCGTATGAATCCTTGCATAGACACAGAGTTGATTGGCTGACCTTGGGCCAATCATTTTCTCTCTGTCTAACCTACCTCAGAAGGCTGTTGTGCATAAACAAGCGGGAAATCCTATTTGCTACCCTGAGCTCCTTGGAGTAACGGAGGGAGAGGCAGTATTGAGAATAATCCCTCTGCCACTTTAAACAGTAGAAAAGTTTTCTTGATTGCGGTATAAAGGCAGGCATAACATCAAAGATGCAAATGTGAGATCCTTTGTGACTTTACAGTTGCATGGTGGGCATTCATATCAGTCTATGGAAGCATTTTGTCCTTCCTCCCCACCCCAAGCTTTGTTTGGGTCATCATTTTGCATTCGTTTCCCTTTAGTGCCACATGAACATTTATCAGGTCATGCTTTGCCTAATTTTTTGGGGGGGCAAACTTCTACAAAATTGTCCAAAAATGGAAGAAAGGGGGAAGCTGGTTTTGCCACATGACAGTTTCAGCCAATAATTACTGCCCACTGGTAGATCTTCCCCACTCGGTATTCTAAAAACATATAGCATTTTGTTGTCAAAAGCTTTCACGGCCGAAGTTCATTAGCTGTTGTAGATTTTCCAGGTTCTACGGCCGTGGTCTTGGCACTGTAGGACCTGACGTTTCTCCAATAGCTGTGACTGGCATCCACAGAGGTATAACACAGAAAGATGGAGTACTCTCTCTCTCTCTCTTAACACAGAGAGTACTCCATCTTTCTGTCTTATACCTCTGAGGATGCCAGACACAGCTACTGGCGAAACGTCAGGTCCTACAATGCCAAGACCACGGCCATACGACCCGGAAAATCTACAACAGCTAATATAGCATTTTGTTGGTTCCCTTGTTTCAAAACTGGAACAAGGGGGAGATAGATCTGAGTCCCGTAGCTCCTTAGAAACCAACAAGAATTTTAGGGTGTGAGCTTTTGAGAGTCAAAACTCCTTTTGTCAGGTGTCAGGGAGCTTTGACTCTTGAAAACTCATACCCTGAAAATCTGGTTGGTCTCTAAGGTGACTTCATCGCCCTGGGCACATCGCTGGGGGGGGGGGACACTCTAGCATTCG